CACACACACACACACACACACACACACACACACACACACACACAAACACCTCATCTCTCATAGGTGTGCACAGCGCCCCGTCACTCACACCTCCGACAGAAACGCGTATGGCGGCGCACAGCTTAAATGTCTTCAATTTGAACCGTATTCATTCGCCACTTGTTTTAAGTTGAAGCATTGAAAGAAGACGTGGTTATGATGGCGCTGAAGTGAGTAGCGGCTAAAGTGAAAGTGCTGATAGGAGTTGAAGTGCAGGAGTCGACGCTGAACGTGTTTATTGTCACTTCGAGTGCGAGTTCAAGAAATTGAAGTGTCAACTGATGTGTGAGCGCAGACGGGGGTTAGTGTCAGTTGAAGCAGCAGCACGAGTCCCACTGGTAGAGCTGGGTGCTGTTTTACCGTTTTTTTCACCAGGATGAGCGCGTGCGTGCGGGTTTTTAACGGGAAAACAGAGTTAGTAAACAGTGATAATGGCACAGGAAAAGGGAGATTGGTGCGTCTACCCCGGTGTCATGTTTTCATCTGCCGATGAATTACAATCTACAATCATTTGTCCTGGGAATAAATGTGGATCGTAAACTCTCCCACTGCAGACAAAAGCCAGATGTTAGTGGGTTTTTTGTCCAGTGGGAAAGAGGCTTTATAGAGCCAACACAGTACCTGATTTGCACTACATGTATGTCTTGAAATATGTAGTTTAAAGGTAAATGCATGTGGACGAATGAAAACATCCACGATGACAATAAACATGAAAATTAGCATAGTTATACCCAATCACAACCATGCGATGTGCTGTGTGTGATCACTCTAGGGTTACGGCTTCACCGTCCCACTCGGCAATGATGCTTCCTCCTTTTGTGTGTTGGCATGAGCAGCGAGCGGGGCGAGCTGATTGGCCGAGCACCATGCAGCGGGGGCGCCCACAGAGGAGCGCTGCCGCTTTAATGTGTAGATAAACAGGAGCGCTCTCAATCTGGGATTAGATCCCTTCATTTTTAAAGCATTACAGAAAGGTGTGTGTGTGTGTGTGTGTAGTTGAACCAAAACAAAAGGGCTTTCATGTTATTGTACCACGTGTGCGTACTGTAGTAGCTCACTCACATGGTAGGAGGATGTGTGTGTGTGTGGGTGTGTATATATGTGTGTGTGTGTACCAAAGGAGGAGAAGCCCGGTAACTAACGGCGTTGCGGGAAGATGCACAGCAACAATGGAGCCTGCAGCTCATCTTCCTGCCCCTGCACACACACACACACATGCTCTATTGTGGGGTAATCTCACACACTGCCCAGATAAGTGGGTCACTATTTGTGCAGGCAGCGCATGTGTGAGTGTGTGTGTGTTCATAAATACACCATTTCTGTGTTTGCAGCTCTGCAGAGTCGATACGTGTTGTTAACATTTGCAGGAAATATATGCGTGTGCGTGTGTGTGTGTGTGTTGTGAAGCGTATATATTTACTCTGCGTGTGACAGAGGGTCCGTCGGGGAGTTGGGTGTGGTGGTGGGGAGGGGGGGTTGCTAAGAAGCGGGCTGGTGGGCGGGAGCACTGGTGACACAATGAAATTGACAAGGCAGAAGGACCTAATTGCACCCCTCTTGTCTTTAACGATTTGGGGCAATGTCTCTCTCCCACTCGTCGAGTAAGTCCGAGCGTCTCAGAAACAGTTTGACGCTGCCGTCTTCCTCCTTTCCTCCGACATCTCTCTCTCTCTCTCTCTCTCTCTCTCCCTCTTCCCTTTTTTTTTTTTTTTTTTTTTTGTTTAACTCATATTCCCTGGGGTTGTTGATTTTTCTTAAAAATAGAGCCTTGCCTGACACAGAGCAGGGATGGAGGGAGGGGGGGAGGGAGAGGTAGACGGGTAGAAATACATATACGTAGAGGGAAGGAAGGACAGTGGCGCGTGGTCGGGAGCTCGCCGTCCGGTCGGTCGTTCTCTCTTCGCCGTCTGCAAAGGTGATTGATGGCGGCGTGAGATTGTTTTGCTAATTGGAGACGGGCCTCCTCGTATCCGCAGACCGGCTACTGTTTGTTTACCGTGTGTGTGTGTGTGTGTGTGTGTGTGTGTGTGTAAATGTAGACACTCTTAATTTGTCACTGTAGCTGTTATCATGTTGACTGAATGGTTTTTGTGTTTTTTTTAACAGGAAATCAACCATGTGCTGAAAGGAGCTCTGGACCGGCTGCACACAGACGACCCCCCCGCAAAGATGAGCAAAGCAAACTATAGGTAAGAAATGTGTGTGTGTGTGTGTGTGTGTGTGTGTGTGTGTGTGTGTGTTTACAGATCACACTGTAGCCGGGTACGCCGCAGTGTTGGAGACTGGGATTAACGCTCCAGTCTTTGTTTGACAGCCTGACATTGTGACTGGATTAAACGCTCTCGTGTGTGTGTGTGTGTGTGTGTGTGTGTGTGTGACAAAAAGATGTAAATACAACCCACAATTCAGTTTTTATTGGAGACGAGGTTACGGACATTAATGTGTGAAGTAGCAGGGCTGCACCTCATGATTTTCACTGTTGATTTGATATGTTGCTGTTTCCTTTGGTTAATCAAAAGTCCTCTCAGCCCCGCTGGGACGCCAGCGGTCCCGCCCACTCCCGCGCGTGATTGGTCCGTCTACATGTGACTGATCCCATTCATTGTGAGCATAATTGAGATGTAATGTTTGGTTGTTACCCGTCCTTGCGTGTAATGTCCCGGGGATCCACCCAAAGGCGACATTTACATGACAAACATCGCTCTCTTGAAGTTGGGGAAGAAGTTGTAGAGAATTCCCTATTGCAGTCTTATCTGGCCCTCTTGATTATTCTTTATGATACTGTTGTAATTTAATTGACATCCAGGGTGTTGACCTTTGATCCCTATGAGGGGAGAATAGTTAGTGGCATGATTGGATTTGTGCACACTGTATGTTGGTTAACATCTCACCAACCTCCGCCTTTTATTTTTGGGCACCTCTGACATGATGCAGTTTTATCTTCATTTCTCCCTCTCACTCCTGCATCAACGACCCCTTTGCCCCGTCTCTCGAACCAGCGAGCCCGTGACAGAAGTAGAAAATAATTTCCCGATGAGAAGATTGTTCTTTTAAATAAATAAATAAAAGGACTCCCGAGTCTCAGGGAACAGACTCGTCCGCAGTGACAGATGGCGATTCTTCTGCATTCTTACGGTACAGCGGCGGGACTCGGCGGAGGCGCGGCTCCCAACGATGGGTTGTAAACAGATGGTTGGCAGCTGAAGGAGCCGCGGTGAGCGAGCGAGGGGCACACTTTCAGCGAGTCCCCGGGCCCCTGCGAGTTTGTTAGGTGGCCTCGACCTCCGTTGATGTGGAGGAAGTCAACCAGGAGTGGGAGCTCCATCTGTCTCACTCCTCGTTGCTCTTTTCATCCGTCCCACTGTCTCCCTCTCTCCCTCTCTCCAGCGGAACGACTGTGTTTGTGTTTGTGTCAGCGGGATGCTAAAATGGTTGAGCGGAGCTATTCTGCATATTAGAGCGCGGCGCTAACAAGCTACGGCTGCCTCTGATGAGCTTGTTTGTTTTTATATGAATGTAAATGGACTGAGGTGTTAAGTGTGCGAGTACATATACATCGCTCAGGACCGGCTTTGTACCTGCGCGTGTGCACGCTGTCCTGCTTTGATTGTTTACCATCACAACAATGTGTGTGTGTGTGTGTGTGTGTGTGTGCCTGTGCATGCAAATTCCTGGCTTGTGCACATGTGTAATTCAGATGTAACCGCGTTCTCCTAACAGATGTAAATCAAATGCATGTGTGTATCTGTGAATTCAATTTGGAGGAATGTGACTGATGGTGTTTGTGAGCACGCAATAGATGCAGCAATAAGAATGCAAATTGGGATGTGTGTGTGTGTGTGTGTGTGTGTGTGTGTGTGTACAGCACGTGTGCGACCGTGGCCGATGTTAGCGAGAGCAGGGGTGACAGTGACGGAGGAGTGTGTTTTATAATAATCCCGGCGAGTCCTTGGGCGTAAGAAGCACACAAACCTTGAACTTTACTGCCTTTTCTTCTCACACTTGCTCTCTTTTTCTTTTCTTATATCACGCAGACGCTTCATCACTTCTTTTTTTCAAAGCTAAACTTTACCTTTTTGTTCTCGGCCTCCGCCTGAGATCGCTCCTCTTGGACCGTTCCCCCGAAACCTTCTCGCAGAACCAGTCAGTGTTTCGATATTCCCACATCTCCTCGTCAAAACATACAGATCATTAAAAGCACTACCGGGAACTTTTCATGCTGTTATGAAACACGTCCCTCTTTATGGCCTCCATAAGCAAACATCATCATCAGTGAATATCTTAAATATCCAAAACATCTTTATGTATAACATCTTGGAAGAACAATGCTGCAGATTTGGACGGATGTGATGCTACGGCACACATTTGAGATGAATTTCTTTGGTGGCAAAAACAACAAATACGACCGAGAACATGATTTCTCTAACTTCAAAACAAAGTATAATCCCCCCCCCCCCGTCTCCCGTCTCCTGTGATCTTCCGTCATGCTCCCATCATGCAGGTCCCCCCTCTTAGCCGTCCGCTATTAAAAGCCTTGTTTATCTGCCGTTAAAAGCCCCGGTTCGGGGCTCCGATGGGATTATTAGAGACATTCTGTTTCATCTCCATCATGCTCCTCCATCCGTCTTTCTCTTTTATCTCCCGCTGTCTTTTCTTTTGTCGGCCAACCTCATTGGGCGCTTGAGAGCGCGGGTAGATAAAGGCTGAAGTATAGCCACCTGCGTCCCGAGCATCCACCCACCCACCCATGTTCCTCTGATGTTTGCCAGGACTACCTGTAAGCTCATTTGTGTCCCTATCTGTGTAGCCCGGAGGAAAACTCTCATTTATTTTGAAGAGCTTGCACATAGAAAGGCTCGGAGTGTGTGTGTGTGCGCAATGTTGTCATGATCGCATGCATGTACATCCTCACCTTCAATATGTCTTTCAAGATGTCCGTGTGTGTGTGTGTGTGTGTTTGGTTGACAGCACCCTGACGAAAGTGGTGGAGTTTCCAGCTGACTGGGGACCCCTGGGTATCCACGTGATCCCGTACTGCTCCTCTCTCAGTGGACGGTAAGCACACACACACATGCACACACACACATACACACACTCTCCTTCCACACCACATCCACTTGTAATCAATCAGACATTCATAAGGGATGGCAGATGGCAATGTTGACTCATAGACATGCACAAACGTTGGCATATGTGTGTTTACCTCCACGAATTCATATTCACTGTGTGTGTGTGTGTGTGTGTGTGTGTGTGTGTGTGTGTGTGTGTGTGTGTGTGTCAAGGACCCTGGGCCTGAACATTAAAGGCATCGAGAAAAACAGCCGCTCCGCGAGGGAGAATATCTTCCGGCAGGACGAGTGCATCGTGCAAATCAATGACACGCCCCTCGAGGACAAGACCTTCGTGCAGTAAGATCGCCAGCACAGCCATCAACCAATCAAATTCTCTGTCTTTCCACAGCTCCTCTCACAAAAGAGTGCAGGTGTCTCTGCGTTCCCTATTTATTTTTTCCTTTTCCATCCGTAGGTCACAGGAAGTGTTCCGCCAGGCCATGACCTCCTCCTCCTCCTCCTCCGTGCGCCTGGAGGTCCTCCCCCCGGCCAACAAGCCTCGCTACGAGAAGAGACTGATCGGTCAGCTCTTCACTGCCGACGGCAAAGAGTCCGATGCAAAGGCGAGGAGTCCGATGGCGCCCCGTGCCAAAACCGACCCGGAACCCAGACAAGACGCCAACGGCAAGCTCGAGGTTAGGCGACCCGATGGGCGGGCCAAGACGGCGGAGACGTTCGCGGCGAACACACCGTCGCCGGAGCTCCAGCCTGGGCGCGGCTCGCTGGAGAGAGTCTCTCCCATGCCTCCGGCCAGGGGGGCGAGCTCCTCCCCGTCACCCAGGACCCAAAGCCCCCTGGCCGGTAGGAGCCCTGTTCCTGGCCTGACCAACCCTGCCGGCAGAAAGGGCGGCAAGAAGATGAAAATTGACCTGAAGAAAGGTAAAGAAATAGTCCCATATAAAGCTTCCATTGTGAAGATTTTTCTTTTTCCTTACATACTGTTCGAATGTTTTACTTTTTGGTTTGAACCCAGACCGACTCAGTCCGGCGTCCCTGCTGCCTTATCTATCAACCCCGCAAAACGTGTCGATAGCACTGGAATAGGTTTGTGGGACCGTGAATGGGCTCTGTTCTAGCAACCTGTCGTGTTGCGGGCCATTGAAAAGGATCGCTGTAATTGGGCCGCGCGCACACACTTGCTACAGGTGCCCGGAGAAAGGCGAGAAGAGAGCCAGATGAAAGGACGGAAGAAATTGGGCTCCACACTCTCTGGCTCCGGCTCAAAGATCTATTTACCGCTGTTTTATTGTTAGCTTCTTTCTCTCCCCCGCACCTTTTCATCCCACCCATTTTCTTCACCTTTCCCCTCCATCCTTCTTTTGTTAGAATTGCCTCCCCTCCCTCCCCCTGTCTCCCTCCATCCCTTTCACCTGATGCAAGATCAGAGCAGAGGATATTATGGGGTTTCTAACACCCTCTCCCTTGGCAACAGGCTCTTTCGCTCCGTGATTGACAGGCGGTGAGGTTTAGGTGCGCTAATGTAGGGCAGGCAGAGGCTTAGCTTGGAGCACAGATAGCATCGCTCACCGCCTTTAGTATGCCACGCCGGCTTTACTCTGCCTGCACACACACACACACACACGGAGCGTGGCACATTTCACTCATGGCTTGGGGCTTGTGAGGCCGTGAAAAAGGGAGAGAGGTTGGAGGGGCTGCGGGTTGATGGCTCATGCGTGCGTGTGTGTGTGCGTGTGTGTGTGGCCTCAGAAATACACACACACTTGTAAATGTATACACACGGATAAACGCAGGCTCACACCCACGAGGAAAATCTTTGTGGGAATCGCGTCGCTTCCCCAGGGACGGAAGCTGGAGAAGGGAATAATATCTCCCAGGTTCTTTTCTCTCTCTCTCTCTCTCTCCTCTCTCCCTGTCCTCCCTCCTCCCCCACCGTCTCCCTCTACCTCCCATCATCAGCTACCGTTCGGCCTGCTCACACGTGAAATTAAAGGCAGAGACTGTCTAATCCGTCGAGAAGCCTTCTCCCGGTGCCTCGGAGGCTGAGCCGGGAAACAAACCCCCCCCCCCCTCCCCCAGAGGAAAACAGCCACTTAAACAGTAGTTAATGTGGAGGAAGATGCTTAAGCCAGGAGAGGAGAGGAGAGAGGGAAAAGTAACAGAGCAGGGGGACGTGAAGGAAAATTAAATTAAAAGTAATAAAATGTATAAATTGAAGTCTGGCCCAGGAGGGATTGATGTCTCTGATGCACAACCGTGACGCAGGCTGCTTTGTCACCCCCCCCCCCCCCCCAGCCGCAGGCGACGAGGGTCTGGGCTTCACCGTGGTAACCCGGGACTCCACGGTCCACGGGCCGGGACCGATCCTGGTGAAGAGCATCCTGGCGCGCGGCGCAGCAGTTAAAGATGGTCGCCTGCAGCCGGGTGACCGCATCCTGGAGGTGAGCTTTGACCTCGGGGGCCCGTTAGCCTCCCGCCGAGGACCAAACCACCAACAACAGGAACATCGCCGTTTAGCAGCAGGAAGTTGAGCCGCGTGGCTCACCTGCTGGTTAAACCGAGTAACCGCACTTTAATATACTGTGTGTGTGTGTTTTCTCGTTGTGTGTGTGCGCAGGTGAACGGAGTGGACATGGCGGGCCGTAGCCAGGAGGAGCTGGTGGCCATGCTGCGCAGCACCCGGCAGGGAGAGAGTGTATATATGGTGGTGGCACGGCAGGAGGACGTCTTCCTGCCACGGGAGCTGGTAAGAGAGTTCAAACAACACAGCGTCCTCACACAGTGTCTCCACGTCTCTCTTCTTCTTTGGTCATTTCTGCTGATCGTTTGTCTTCCGTGGTGGTCTTCGCTTCTGCGCTCTTTTTCCGTCTTCATCTTTTTTTTTTTTTCCTTTTTCCTCTCCCAAAGGAGCTAACCTTTTTTCTTTCTTTTTTGCCCGTAAACACACGCACAGCACACTCCGGCCTTCCTGTCCCACTCTGTTTTTGTTGACACAGCGATGCCACAGGAAGTCACACACACAAACCCACGACGCCCCCCCCCCCCCCGCAGGAAACATGCACTGGCATAGTCCGCGGGTGTTGAGTGACCGTTTACCTGCAGCGGCTGATGGGGGTCAGAGGTTGCATTGACCGTGCCTCACTGGATAAACACACTTTTTAACATACGCACGTGCAGCCAGCTGCCCCCCCCCACCCTTGAAATTCACCCGCTCGCAGTAAATAATGTTTTTTTTTTTTGCCCCGCTCTCCTCTCCCCTCTGTCCTCAGCGGTTATTCTGATTATTCCCGAGCCGCTGCTTCAAAGAGCTCTGAGAAAGACGCGCAGGGCTTTGTAGTGACTGATGCATATTCACACCGAGCGAGGCTGCGCACACAAACTCATGCACACAAACTCCTAAACACCTTGATAAAAAAAACTCTCACACACACACACAGGCGAACACATCACACGATCTTTAAACAGCCAAGTTACTGCTTCCAAAAATAGTTTGCCCTCATTAATGGCCCAGCAGTCTTGGCATAACAAGTGCACTTTGATGAGCCTCTACAGTCTTCATCTAACACTTGCTTGTATTTGGGCATTAGAGACTTAAAGAGAGGGGGGGGGGGGGGGGGTGCAATGAGAGAGAGCCTTCACTCCTGTCTCTGTCGAGGCTGTTGAAGCTGTCGGTGCCCCGTGAGATCTGGCCCTTATCTCCAGCACAGTCCTCCACCTCAAAGTCGGTTTGATGTCCCCTAAGCACACACACACACACATATGTATATTTACACGCACCACACACAGGCCCTCCAGAGCTTCTGTGCAGACCCTCAAAAAGCGAAGCATTACATAAAGACACAGCTGCAGAAACTATGCAGGGGAGCAGAAGTTCAGCAATGAAAGTAGCCAAATGAGCGCGTGCAAACAAAAGGTGAAAGCTATGCAACTGCAAACCCCCCCAAAAACAAAACAAAAAACACATCCCCACCTTTCCAAAATCTACACCTTACTGGACAATCCAGATTCGTTTCCTCCCTTGCAGGTTTTAATTGCTCGACTCTTTAAGTTGTAGCGGGGATGCACCGTGTGTGGAGCTCCAGCAAGGAGCGGCCCTCAAAAAAGATGCGACCACGATGGCGGTGCGTTCGGCGGACGCGGCCATCTGCTTCGCCTGTGGTACAGAAACCCGCTTGTGCGTAGGCGTGCGTCTGCGTGTCCGTGTGCGCGTCTGACTCAGTGTGGGTGCTCATGAATATTTATAATGTTTTCGAGCGATATCTCGTAGAAGCCGCTTTTTTTTTTTTTTTTTTTTTTTTATAAGCGTCCACATTATTCCGGTCATATTTATTACAAAAAAAAAACAAAGATAATCAGATGCAAATCAGCAGTTCATTATCGCGGTTGCACTTTTAAGGAGCTGCTGAGATTAATTGGCTGAAACTTCAATACCAGCTTATTGCATATCATGGTTTCATTTTGGAACGTTCTCTCCAGCTGAAAGCGTTTGTTTGGCTTATTTTAATTAAAGAGAAGTATATCTGGGGGCATTTATGACACGATCAGTAAGCAGGGCTTATTTACCTGTTGGGATGTGCTCTGCAGTGCGGTAGCAAAGACCCCCCCCTGCTTCTGCTCTGTGGGTTTAATCCCGGAAGAGCCTCTTCTGTGTCTCATCTGTCCAGCTTCTCTGCAAATGCTCATCTAGTTTAATTAGTACAACATGCATGTTTACATCTCGTTACTGTCTGCAACCTGAAAAACCCGTAAACATGTTTATTAGCTGGATAACCCAACGTCTGACTCAACCTGAAACTGATTGATCTGGTTTCACAGTTACTGCAACAAGAAGAAAGACTTTTACTCTCAGAAACATGCCGGTCTTTCCTCTAATCACGGCAGTTTGTCGAGGGGGAATCTGCCCCATGTTCTCCTCATTAGCCACCTCTCCTGTTAAACCTGCTTTCTTGCATTGCATTTAATCCCATCGACGCGCAACGCGTTGACCGTTGAGACGGACAGGTGTGCTCATTCGTTTTTTTAATTGAAAGAACCGATCCAAAGATTTTTATGAGATCAGTCGCTTAAAGGCTTGAAGGGAAAAACCAACCGAACAAAGGAAGTCTGTGAGGCGACATGCTCACAATTACGACGCTAACATGGTGAGCGTTTAGTGTGTTAGCCAGCTAGCACTTGCTAATTAGCACTAAACACAAAGTACAGCCGACGCTGAAGGGAAAGTCATTAGTTTCAGGCGACCTGAAGATGATTGTGAATAGTCGGTGGATCACCAAAGTCGTTGCAATTCATTATTCAATAAATAAATAGTCTGGAGGATAAGGAATAAATGCATGCCAAATGGCGCTCCAGTAGAACAGACATTTGCTGACACAGCAGTTTGAACCGGGGGGGGGTTTGTCTTGGTTAAAAGGCTGCACCATCCTGCTGCCACCCTTGCAACATTTATGCTCTCTGCTCCAGCATTCATATACCAGTAATCTCTTTTTATCCGCCTTGTACGAGCAAAGTGGACCTTTAGAGGAACCGGCTGAACCGCTGATTGATTCGTTTCAACAGGGCGGGTATTGATGTCTACTTCAGTCAAAGGAATATTGGTGAATTAGGCTCTTCATTAGGATACATGCTCTCACACACCCTCCCGGTAATTAAAGAGCGTTAACTTCCAATCACAGTTTAGCTTCTGTCAGCGTTTTCTGCCTCTCCGGCGTCGCGGGGCCTCGTTTTGTTTCATGACATCAGGGAGATTGTCGTGTGTGTGTGTGTGTGTGTGTGTGTGTGTGTGAGTGTGTGTGTGTATGTGTGTGTGTGTGTGTGTGAGAGTGTGAGAGAGAGTGTGTCCTCTGCAGAATAACGTCGAGGACAGGATGGAGGGGTCGCTCTGCACATGGTTGACCCCTCTGTTGCCGGCAAGCCTAGGCCAGCTCACAGGAAGGAGGGGGGGGGGGTCGTCAGGCAGCTTGTCCCCTCTCGTCGATCCCTCGCCACCTCTCTCTCTTTCTTTCTGTTTTAGTCTTTCCTTTTCACTATCCCTGCCCCCCCCTATCCCTAAAAGAAAACTCAGCAGAATTATCCCTCAATCAGTCATTTAACTTTCCCTTTCTCTCCATTGTGAGGTAAAGGTGTAACGCGGCGAGGAGGCAGACATTAAGGCGATTAATTGGCAGCTCCGTCGTCGCCGCCGAGCTCGGGGAGATCTCATCTTAATTGAATGTCGTTCTCACCGCTAATCCCACCGCTTTGAAAACCCCCCATTTAAAAATCCTCAGCGACAAAAGGCTCTGTGTGTAATCGCGGTGTATCACCCCCCCACCCCTCCCACACACACCCTGGGGTAAGAAAAAAAGCTCCCTTTTGTCTCCTCATTTGGGTGTTGAAGAGGGTGGTCTCCCTCCTGGCTAAAAGCTTAAAGAGCCATGGCTGAGGGCTAATAGTGGGGGTCGCAGAGCGGAGCCAAAGGGTCTCAGCCACCCTGGAGATGCAATCTGCCCCCAAGGGAAGGGCATTAGAGGGGATACTAGAGAGGGTGGGAGTGCTTTTTGGACCACCACTGAGATCCACTTGGTTGGGTAAATAGATCACAATCGGATACAATAAATAAACACTTTCAGTTGATGCGGCTTCACTGTATTTTCCAAGATGTGAGGCACCGTTGGCACATACAACCAAGGTAGCTGCAGCTCGATCAAAGAGGTATTTAAAAAAACCTCCCAGGTTGCCGCCCGAGTCCTCTCAAGTGTCTCTCACGCAGGAAGTAGCGGATCGTCTTTGTAATTCCTCCGGTTTTGAGTAACGGCGCTCTGAAACGCCTTGTTGATTTAAAAATAAGCCCTGACTGAGAGCCTTGCGTTGCACTGAAACAGAAAATAGATTCCGGGATGCTTGAAGGACTCGTTGTTTCGCTCGCCGCAGCTTGTTGTTGTCATATCAAGGATCTGAATAGGAGGCGATTAGCAGTCTGTGTGAGACACAATGGACTCCTCAGTGAAGAAGGAGACACGTTGGGGCCAATGGGAAGGACTTCAGGGATTCTGGATTTATACTTGAGGGTGAAGGAGTAGATGTATTAGGGACAGTAGGGGGCCCCATAGGTGTTGTATATGTTTATTAATCTATAGTTTACAGAATTATTTCAATTGAAATGATGTGCACGTCTCAAAAGCGGAAGCTTTATTGACTTCCCACTGCCGTCGTTGGGGACTGTCCTCAAGAGAGCCCGCTGCGAGCCAGAAATCATTTTAAAGGTTTTCGCAAAGGTTGCGAGTGTTTTTGTCGCTTTGCATCCGCCATCTGTCTTTAATTAAGCACCTAGACGAAGCCGAGCAGCGCCGACACCAGTAGGATTTGAGGTCGAGAGCGAAACACCACAGTGGAGGACACATTTGACGAACCCTTTGGCGGGGGGAAAAAGGGCCGGCGCTTCGAAAACATCTTCCCCCATCAGGAGCCGCCGGTTGTCGTTTATATATTGGACCGCCACCTCCAGAGGAAGCGTGAGCACAGGTTCCTGAGGGGCCTGATGTAAGGCTCCTGCAATCCCGGCGAGAGCACTCAGATCTTTAAAGCCGTGACAACCGGAAGGGCTGGCGTTAAGGGATCTGCATATTCCTCCCAAATCCACTTTGACATTTTTTTTTCCCGCTTTTATGAGGTTTTTTTTTGTGTTTTTATTGAACTTCCTGACCTGAATGAACTTCTGAGCTACTTTCAGTCTCACCCAGAGGAGAAAAAGACAAACACCGTAACCTTCCATCCGTCCTCTTTAAATAGAAAATCTGGCTTTTTGGATGAAATTGTTGTTGAGGCGACTCCCCCTCCGCGGGCCCTCTTTTCCCCGGGTGACTGAACCTGGCTCGTCTTTCCCGCTCTCCATTTTGCCATCCTCAAATGACAGACATTTACCTTTTTCTCTCTCTTGTTGCCTTTTGTCTCTCCCCCCCCCCCCCCCCATCTTATATCCTGTCGCCTCCGCCGCGGTCGTTCTCCTCGCATTAAATGGCAGCGGGTGAAAGATGTCGAGAGAGGGAGAGAGAGGGAAATTGAGAGCCGGGACGCAGAAGGGAGAGACGTACAGTAAGATTGAGAGATTAGGATGAAATGTAAAGCGTGAGGAAGCGGGTATACCTCAGGGATGGGTTATTACTTTTAAATGCTCCTCTGCGCCTCCATCCTTTCCCCCCTCTTGCTCCTTTCCTCCTGCTTCCTCCCCCACTGTGCTCCAGGAGGAGGTATGAAAAGGTTATTATGTTTCCTTTAGAAATGGCTCGCTCTCCGCCTGCGCCTTTCATCTCCAAATGGAATAACCTCTCTACAGTAGCTTTCTTCTTTTCCTCGCTACACCTTCATCTCTCTTTCCAGTGCGCAACACCTGCTCCTCTCTTCCTGTTCCTGTTCCTCCCCGCAGCCTTCTTCTTCCATCTGACTCGTTAATCCGTCTCTCTTCTCTTTCCTTCTCCCTCCTTTTTCTTAATAATCAGCCTGGTGTAGGAGCGTGCATTATCAGTCAGTGCATTAGATATGGTGCTCTTACCTCAATCCTCAGAGATCATACGCAGCCCTTATTATCTAAAGTAGCTGTTAGGTGTGTGTACGAACAGGCGCTTCCTGTCTGGAGAGATCTGAAGTTTGGGGTAGAAAGTCTCAAATGCTTGTTGTTTTTTTTCCTGTCTCTCAGAAAGGGGAGGATGACGGCAGTCTGGTGTTGGAGGACGGCAGGGAGCAACTGATGTACGAGATCCCCCTCAATGAATCGGGGTCGGCCGGCCTGGGAGTCAGCCTGAAGGGCAACAAGTCCAGAGAGACCGGGGAGGACCTGGGCATCTTCATCAAGTCCATCATCCACGGAGGGGCCGCTTACAAGGTAGAGGGGAGCAGTTTGATACGTTCACAGTATTCATATAGTACTTTAATTTATGTGCATCTGCTTTATTATCAATAAAGAAAGACATGGAAATCTACAATGTGGGACCTTTTTAAAGTGGACAGCACAAATCTAAAGCATGTCCTTTAAGAAAAGAAACACCACAGCAGTGAAACATCTCACTCCTGTGTTTCGACATTCTATAAAGTCCCGAAAGGCCTCATTAGGTTCTCACCATAAAATAACCATTTTGGTGCTTTAAAGAGCTCCTTAAAAATAGAGCAATAGGAGCATTTTGAGTTTTCTTTATTCACAATACTAATCAGGGGTTCTTTGTGATGTCTCTCTTTGTTGTTTCCTCTCACCTCATCTTCCCTTTTTTTTTGCGCTTCTCGCTCCTTCTATCTCATTTCCTGTCTTTCTCCGAGGCCAGAGCGACCCCCCCCTCCCCCCCACCCTCCACCTTTGACCCTCATTGACCCCACAAGTGGTCACGTCAGCGCTGCAGCCGCCTTATCTTTATCACTCAGCACTCACTTCAAGTTGGGAGTGCGTCAGGAAAAGAAACATCCCGTTTCAGCACTTTGAAGATTCATCCACTTGGCCTCAATATCTGCTCCTCCCCCCCTCCACATATCACAACTCGTCGTCACTGCTCCAGATCTGCAGCGCACGTCGACGAGTGCGACGTTGTAGATAAACGGCTGGTCTGGGATCAGTGCGGCCTGGCCACGGCTCCCCGAAGTGCCTTCAGAAGTAGTTTTTCCGACAGCTGCCGATGCGGATAACGCTCCGACAGAATGGCCCAGCAAGATCTCCTGGCTGGCTGCGAAACAGGTTTCTGGGACGAGATACCACATAAGAGGAAGAACGACGTGCAGGAAGAGAGAGACGGACAGCAGCGAGGGAGGGAGAGAGAGGGCAACCCATTGAAAGGGAGACAGCGGGTGAACGTGCGAGAGAAAAGGGACGGGGGGACGAACAATAGAGAGACGGAAAAGAGGCGGAATAAGGGAGGGGGAAAAAATAAAAAAGTGGAGACACTCAGCGGGAACACAACACACGAGGGCGTCTGGATGTCGATGCATGCTAATGAAAAGCAGCTAAGGGACCGGTACAGAGGAGGGGACCCGGGCGTCCCCCAAGTCAAAACACACACTATCGCACAGCAGGACACAACAGGGAGGAGATGAGGAGAGATCTAACCTATTTCCATTAAATAGTTCTGGTTGCCGTCGGGGGCCCGGGGCCTCAATTACAACCCCCCCCCCCCCCAAAACAAAAAAATCTTCTTTGACTTCACCCCTGATCCTGTCATACGAGCGTATCAAAGATTATGCTCAAGAAAACAAATTTAAAATTACATGCAGCTGCTAACTTGGACGAGTGAAGATATTAATAGTGTGTGTGTGTGTGTGTGTGTGTGTGTGTGTGTGTGTG